ATTGATTATTCTGTCACCAAATTTTCGATTTTTTTTATCTTTCGCTATGTTTCTCAGACGATTATATTATTTGTTAGTTGTCTGAATGTCTATTCAAAACATATTTTTTAAAGTACTTTGAAATATGAAAGTGCGTAATGATAAGACTAAATCCACGTATATATATTCCACCGACGATTCAAGCAAATATTTGTGTTATTTCATAATCGGCTTATCATCAGATAATGCACCGATGTTGTGACAACTTTCAATTGCAATTTCTTCACAGCGACTTGATGTCGAGCTACGAAACTTGGGGCATATATGCATGAGACAAAGTTGTTTAATATCTACAGCTTTCATTGCAGTTCTTCTTGTGATTCACGTTTTATAAGAAAACTACATAGCACTAAGGTGCTTACACGAAAGGCTCTCTTTTGTCGACGGTGTCAGCAATGTTAAGCTTTCTGCGAATGCTTGACTTATAAAAAATATATGATTCCAAGCATGTTTGTAGCGGAAAGTCAGGACTATCTGGTGTGAGAAGATATGTTCAAAAATTTGATGTTACTTCAGAGTCATAGTCAAAATACTATGATAACACACTCACACTTTGTTTTCGAGTTTGTTTTATAAGCGTGCCCAATGATAAATAGTAGCAGAGTCACCTTATAAGCGGCATTAAATAGAATATTTTCGTACGGTAGTTAAACTTAATTTATCACATTTTTAATGCGTTTTTTTTTATTAGAATGTTATCTTCCGTTTTTACTTTTGGCATGGAGAAAGATTCATTAACGTTTTTATATTTTATCTGTTATCAGTTGTTTTAGTGTGATTTGGCGGTCTAATAGGTGCGTAGAGGTCACCACATTCGACCAAGCGGTCATTTCAACATTTTTATGTGTCATAAGCGAAGCTTTGCTGACAACAAGCAGCCTATTTTATTTCTTTCAGAAATTGTTTAATGCAAAACTATCTTACGGATTCGGCCTATCAATATGCTGTGTAGCTAACGATTTTGTCACCGTTTCAAAAAATCTGGGAAGAACACGATGAAGGTAGAACGCGCATTTATTATCACTGAGCGTATGCACCGACGAGGTATAGGTCGGTAAGCTTCTGAAGATCAGGCTATCAGTTCACCTGTCAGTTCCGACCTGACTGAAAGAAGTGACACGCCGGCCTAAAAAAAATAAAGCTCACGAATATCTCTGTAAGATATCTACTCTGACGAATGCATTGAACACTTTATGCTACTGAAGCAATTGATCTTCGCATACATGGAGTTTATAATCTACACAACGGTTATGGATAGAGTGCATGAGTGCCTTACCTTTTTCTTGATCAACAAAAGCATGTAAGTAGAAATCGACTCGAATGTTGGATATTCCATCAAAAGTTAGCGAAAGTTTCTAGGCGTCGATAAAAATGTTTCTGTGACTGACGTGTAAACTAAGTTAAAAGTCTATCCTGATAAAGTGCTAACTTTAGGCTTGGTGATGTTTCTATGTGCTTCCTATTTTTCAGACCAGTTATGAAACCATCAAAAATTTTATCATAAGAAACTCCAAACTTCACAGACTTAGAATATGTACCGGACTACATCTTTTCGCTCCGCGATGAAAACAAATACATTTTCTGACTGAGTCAAGCGCACTCTACAACAAGACATAATCAGCTCTCAGAAATATGTTGGCCTTACTTCAATTACTCTAGTTGGCCATGTGCTGCTGCACAAGTCGTACTCTTAAATGCTGACCATACTCATTATCTATTAAAAGATAGATTATTGGACGACTGGCAAATACAAATGTATACTGTAGATGTTTATATTCATCGTATAGACAGATAATAGTGCAACCTCATGCAACCCATGCTGTTAAAGCAGCGTTTGTTAAACGCTCATGGTGTTTTATGGCTAGCCGAATTTGTGCTTACTGGGTGAGAGTGTGGGTATTTTTTACTCAATTTCTTGAGTTTCTTCAAACACACTAACTAGATACATGAGCAGATGTATGCCACAACGTAGTCAGCAAGCTATCGCACGGATAATCGGAGACAAGTAGCCATTCGTGACTTCTACAGGGTCATTTTATGAATAGTGATACCGAACTCTTAATATATTACCTTGGGAATACGTGCTGAATAATGTAGTCACTCTGGCCATGCCAGCTCACATTACAATCTGTGCTTATACTGATGATAAACTCAAGTTGATTCCACTACCGTCAATGCTTTGACATTCTGTTACATTGTAATAAATTGTATTCGGTCATTTAGACAGTGTTTTACTTGGCCAGAATCTGGATAGTAAAACTGCAAAGAGTATCCGTATCGATCCGAATGATACACGGATTACAGAGAAAGGGTAGTCGAAAGATAAACAAAAAGAAGAGGAATTTCTTGCAGCCCACTCATGAGAAAGCCAATGTGGATCACGAGAAAACGTTATGAAGACATATCTTTGACAATGGCATGTAGTAGCATCGAAAATGGCTCGACGCATGCTATAGATGCACGAATCAAGCACAGTGTTACACCTTCTAGGGGCACTTCTATGTTGCGCACTCAGTAGTATTATTTAGAATCTTTTGGGATCCATTAATTATATGCCACTCTATGGTATTTTAGCTTGAAACACTAGTCCGCTTAATTCGCAATGAGAATATGGGCGTAAATTGTTGAGAGGTTTTCAAAACCTAGTGTAAGAATAATATGCATATGATACTTTGCAATGAACTTCGTAATGGTCTCATTATTTCTCCTTGAGAGAAACAGCGGAGACTTCAGTTCTGAAATCTCTCAACTTGTGGGGCCCATCAAAGTGCCACTAAAGTCTTTGCAGACTTATGAAGTTTCTTGAAATTTCGAAGCTTGTTATTTCTCACTGGCCTTCATCGTGAATAGAATATGATAAGTTACCAGAATAATGCTGATAGTTAGCAAGTCGGTTACTACCATTTATGAACTGCTTACTACAGTTCAAGAAGGTCAACTCTCACAAAGCATGATTGTTCGGACATTAAGATCTTCTGTAGTACGAAGAAGTTTGTACGCTAAGGAAAGCTTAAGGCGCCCCCCCCCTCCCACTCAAAAATCTATTTTTCCTCCAGAGCAAAATATCTGACTGAAACTTTCAGAGAATATATGCCCGAGTGTGTGTAGCTCACAGTAAAAATCTCAGCTCAAAATATTAAACCGTGCATGATTTATCTTGGCATCAAGGGTTAAAAAGTATGTTTCCGTATTTTAAGGAGTCCTCCTCCAAATCTAATGACAACGATTTTGGATTCATGTCAAATGTAGGTAACATCTGCCGCTACTACTTAACAAGGTTCGATGTTTCAAAATTTTATTTCTTTACATCTGGTGAGAACTCTTCTTAAGACATCTGAAAAGTTAGGGGTACCTTACCGAAAAAATTAAATTTTTTCGAGAAGTAAGCCGACAATGAAAAATCCAGCCCTATTTGGTTGTAGAGCACAACTTTCTCTTCGACTTAAACCTTTTCGAAATTTATAGCAAGTAAAATGGTCAAGAAATCTTTGAAATATAAGCAGTAAAAAGCAGAAAATCTATTTTGAGAAAAACGTGCAACACATTTTAGCATTGAAACACAAGCCTCTTTCGTATCTTCAGTGAAGCCTCTGAAAACTCATAGAAAAGCAATAGAAATTCGATAAATCATAGTGTTTTCGAAAGCAGACACTGAGGGCTATCATTGCTGTGAAGCTAACACGACGTGAAGCTACCATGGTGGATTTAGGTGATCTCTGAAAGCTCAACAGTGCAACCCAGGAGCATAGGACCTGCATGAAAGTGTTGGGCAGGTCCTTTCGAACACCCTCACACAGGTCCTATGCTTTTGGGTTCAACCGTTGACCGTTCAGAGATCACTCAAATCCGTCGTGGTAGCTTCACATCGATAGGGCTTTCTAAGTATGCTAAAATCTCAAAATCGAATTTTTTGACGAAAATCGTAGTTTTTGAGTGAGGGAGAGCCTTGAGAGAGTATGAACTCCTATCCTAAATTGGTGACACTATAGGAGTTTATAATGTGTTGTTTGAGGGATGAGAGTTTCCGATAAAAGTCTTCTTTAAATAAAAATTTGAAAGAGCTCCTTCAGAAAAGTCTCAAAAATAAAAATTCTATAGTTCAACGAAGTCACATAATGAAAATCTCTTGCGCTGAGTTAATGTTTTTGCTGTACAAGCCTTGGACTTCTGAATGACACATGAGCTCAGAGAATTCGATACACACGACACCTACTCTTCTATGAAATATTATGCTTTCAAATTTTGAAAAAAAATATCCCGTCCGATAATGCAAAACTTATATCATTTTTAGAAGTTACAATAGTCGAGCACAAAATTATTCATTGATTCTCTTAGACTTGCATACCATGTTGGTCAATGCTACAGTTTCTTGTTATTTTGTTCGTCTGCTATTCTACACAAATGATACATACGATATGAGTTCCAGTTCGTTTCGTCTTAAGTGTTTGGTATAATATTTCAAAACGGATTTTTTTATGTTTTTTAAGCATATTTCGATGTGTTTCTTTTTTCTATTTTCGAACTTATGTATATCCATAAGCATTGTTTCATCGTATAGAAGTTAAATCGAATCACGATCTTTCAGTACCCTCTATAAATGATGGACATTGTACAACGTTTAGTTGTTGATCCAACAAAATCGATATTTATCGTGGAGATAAATTAAGTCTAATTTAAAACTCTACGATCACAAAATATGAAAGATAATTATTTGTTTTTTGATTCTGTGAAATGTGCACACAGGACATAAAATTCTCTTGATTTAAGGTCAAACAAAATTTGAACCATTAAAAACTGTGGATAAGTTTTCTTACTATTGGGTTATTCATTTATCTGAAGATAGTAGGTGTTTTGAGTTGCCATGCAAGGTCTCGATGAGCTCGACTGCTTCAATCAATAGACTCAGCTTATTGTCATTGTTAGTCAATGAATTCGAAGAATTTTTATTCATGATGTTAGGTTTACGTCGCTGGTGATAATAAAGAGAGATCGATTCAATATTTTGAGTTGCATCAAAGGAAATTTTCAAACTTGGTGCAATAATATCTGGTAAATGCGACTCAATTTTGTCTGAATTTACCATATGAGTGCTGACTAATTTTGGTACAACTTGTTCTGTTTTGACGTCAGGAAGCTTTTGTATTGATGTTTGTTCTTGTTTTTGTTGTTTTCGCTTTCGCATCATGAACTTCAGAACAGCCAATCGATGTCGACGTGCAAAACGTCGTAATTGGTTTTTTGTTCGTATATCTTTCTTACTTGAATATTTATGTTTTCTTTCTCTAGTGGTATTAGTAGTAGATATAGCTGTTGTTAATGATTTAGAAGTCAAAGATTGTTTGTGTGTTGGAATTTCCACTATAGGATTTTGCACCACTTTAAGTTTTCGGACATATTTTTTTCTTTCCTTTTTTATATCAGATGGTATTAATACGGAAGGAGTAGGAGTGATAGTTCCAGGTATAATAGAAGTACATGCTATCGGTAGAATATTTGTAGGTATCAAGTCAGAAGGAACCATACAGTATTGTTGATTAGCAGCAGCTAATAAATGATGTAAATTGTATGGCAAACTACTTGTGTATGAATTATTATTTGTGTTTTGCATACGAGAAAATCCTTGATCATGAATATAGTGTTTTGCTATTGAGTTTACGCCAGGAGTATTATTTTTAATCTGTGGTAATAAATTTTTTTGAATTGATACCAATGAATACTCATTGTTAATGTTAGTCGGTGGAGATTTTATTGAACTTATTGAAGCAGGTGGTGTTAATGGTATAAAATTTGTTGTTGTTGATATGTCCATTGCAAGTGGAGGTTCGTCAGATTTAATCGGCGTTGCAGTTACAGATGTTGGTATTATAGATGGCAAGCCATTTGAAGCTGTAGGCTGTGTAAAAGTAGTTGGACAGAGAGATATTTGTGGTGTAGGCTGTAACTGTTCGATAGAAGTACGTGAATCTAGTCTTTTGGAATATTCTTAATGAAATAACAGAAATTTTTTAATATTACATATATATGTATTTATTTATTTACGATATTTTTATCTTACTGTTCTTTGGTCTTGCAGGTGCAATAGTAGATGCAGATATGGAAGATATGGATGATGGAATAGTGTGGGAGTGACTAATTGGGGATCCTTGACGACTGTACGTAAGTGATGGATTAAGATATTTATATTCGTTTTGCTGCGTTGAATACGCTGACGCTGCTCTTTCCTCAAGTTTATTGTTTATTATTTGGTTAGATCCAAAGAGCTGTGGTTCTGCAACCATTTGTGACATCGAATTTGAACTGCTAACTGGCACAGAATCATTTGACCATGGAGGATTTTGTTGAGTTTGAACTGATACTGATGAATTTAAAGACATTGAAAGGGATGAAATTTGATTTTGACTGATATTATTATTTGCATCACATGAATCATGTTCTATAAAAAATCTGAATGGAAACGTATGACCATTTATAAAACGTGTGGACACGAAGGATGGTATAGATTCTGGTAATATCATCGAAGAATGATGATGATGAGGCGCACCGAACGTAACACCGGTAGACGTTCTTGTTATCTGTGGATTAATCATCACAGGAATAGTTTCTTCTAATTTCGTTGTCTTTTTTCGACGAGGCTTTTTTGTTGATGAAGGACTGTTAGGACTAGATAGTAACGAGTATACTTGTGGTTGATTTTGATCTAAATGTCCTATATTTTGTGTTGGTAATATATCCGTTTGTATGGCTATATTTTCTTGTGTTGGCAGCATTTATAATTCTGTAACATAAATAAAGCAACTAAGAACATATAAGAATTTTACTCGGTTTAAAACTTGCTAAGCAAGTTGCTTTCATCATTTTATCTATTAGAATTGTTATCGACCAACACAAAAAAAAATACGCTGATGTCTTATCTGCTTGAAACAGAAAAAAACGAAAATGCGTACCTATACACGAATCTCAAATGCTGTTTAATATTATATTTGATGTTGTAAAAAAGAAGAGAAAAGAAAAGAATTTTCTTTTTTTTGTGAATCTAAGCCTTAAGGGCGAGCAGCGACCTGTGCGTTGATAGGGGGTACTGCTATAAAATGTATTTTAACAGCATTATTTCTTAGTCAATATTGATTTAAAGGAGAGAACGAGTGAGAGAATGAATGAGTATGCAATTTTAAAACAATATTCTATATGTTACAGAATTCGAGTGAAGAAGTTTCGTTAAGAGCAGTAAAGAAAAAAGGTAACGATGATGCTTATACAACAACACAACTGGTTAGAAACGGAGAGAAAAGAAGAATAGAAAGCATAGAAATAAAATTTGCATTTCTAAAAAATATGTAATTGTGAATAGGTGACCGTTAGATGTTCCCATTTTTATATTTACTTGTATATAAAAGATTACGATGAAATATGACAAAAATAGTATTCGTTCCTCTTTACAGAAAAAAAGAAGTCTTTTAGGCTGTATCCTTGATACTTATTATCTTGTATGAATCTATAGAAATAAAAACTATTAAAAAAAAACTCATACTACAAATATACAATTTATGCTATTTATTTATTCAAAAAGGTTTATCAAACGAAACCTATGTAGAAAACCAAATCAAAATAATGAAAAATAAAATCAGTAGAAAAAAACAATGAATCAAACATCAGCGTGCACGATTCTTAGTTTGACTATTTCATTTGTTCGAATTTAAAATGAAAGAAGAAAGAAGGTTGGTAAATAATAGGGTGTGAATAAAAACAACGAAATTTACATCGTGTAGTCATGTACTGTTTTATCGTTGTTACTCATAGAAATAGCCAAACTATCTATCTGGTTCGTACAGATGAGTAAGTAAACAAGACCACATAACTTGTTTATTGAGTCTGCCAGATCCTAGTGATCAAATCTGATAAACTTTACTTGTATACCAACTTTTTCAGATAGCTCGTCTCAAGATTTCTATCAATAATAATATAATAAGAAGAATGTTCGTTGTTGATATTGCATCTTTCTTGCGAGGGTCAATTGATCCAACAGAAATAGAAAATTAGATATTATTGTTTCAAAATAAGCAATGGAGATATTTTCTTACCACAGAATGAAGCACTATTTGCTCGTTTTCATGTACATGCCAAAATAATATAAATAATTATTCATAATATGAATGTTATTGAACTACTATCAATGATCTCAATAAAGCTTAATAATCATGTTGAAAGAACTACTTTTTCCATTTTTGGGACTTATTAATAAAAAACTAAGTATACTCTTTCTATTTATTCCGATAATTCTCAAATGCATCTATAAGAAAACAATGAATTGATATTGATGCATTTTAATTTCAACTTATATATTTTACAGAACTATCTCTTTCAATTTTGCTACGGTATGTCCTATATACTTTATTATTACAATATCAAGAGAAACTGCAAAGTATTTACATGCATTCCAATTTAGTGCTTGATGAGTTTTTACACTTGAAAAGATACAAGATTGATCGTATTGAGAAGAAAAACCACCATATTTATTATTCCATTTAGTACAAAGATAAACAGCCTGTAGACAAACATGGCTTTCTATCAAGCCTTCCAAACGCAAGAAAAATGTCAGATATCATATGATAGGTTTCAATTTATTATTAGAAAAAGCAAAAAGTTCCGCTTGAGTTTGGCTATTTAACTTGGTAAAATAAGTAAGTTTGATCCTGAATAAATTCTCCATATACTTTTAAAGCAAAATAATACATTTAACATAATAGGTATTTTAAATATATCGAGGTATTCATACAGCTTTGTCTATCTTTTTATGTGAGACTGTTATATGTTCTAGGTCGTCTCAGTCCACGGACTGCTGATTTGCTTGAAAGTTTTTCTCATAGATAGTTTAGCTTGTCATGTTGACCGCTATTAGGCATTATCATTAAGCATCCTTTTTTATTTCATAAATAAAATCATAAGTTGTTCGTAGAAGAATAGAACGAGACAATGATATTCTCTTTTTAACGAAAGATACGTTTTTTCACGTAAATAAACGATTTAGTTGGTCTAAACTGTTTACCGACAGAATGTATACATGCCAATGCAAGACGACCGAAACTCTAGCAGACTACGTAAACTATTATCGGTTCCAGATGTCAAGGCACTCGGTTGATTTTTGAATAACTTTTGATAGGAAGAAGATAGAGATCTACGATTTTCAGCGTTTCATAGTCAAGACCGATGAGCATATTTTCATAAGCAACATCTTTTCTAGAAAAGTCCCAAAACTGGTTTTTCAGAGGATCTCTGTAAAACCAGGCGGAACTTCTGAAAACTGTCATGACAGTCTACTGATTTCTATTACATATTTGGAATCAACATCTAGAAATGAGTCGACTCATGTATGTTTCGAATCTTTGCACGAAGTTTTTTTTATCGAAAAATTCAGCTCTAGTTTCCCTGAGGGGTAGGTCACAAAAGTAACTCAATCAAAAAGTCACTTGGACAGTGGAAAGCAAGTGCGGAGCTTGTAAAATGCTATTAGAACATAAAATGGCATATAACTAAACAATAAAAATGGCGTTTTAACTGAATTCATTTTTTGGACTTACCCCTCAGGGAGACTGAGTGAATTTTGCGATGAAAAACAAATTGGTGAAAAGATTCGAAACATACATGAGTCGACTCAATTTTCGATGCCAATTCCAAATATATAAAAAAATCAATAGGCTATCATAACAGTTTTTAGAAGTTCTGTGCGGTTTTCCAGAGATCCTCTGAAAAACAGGTTTTCGCACTTTTGTAGAAAAGATGTTACTTATGAAAATATGCTCATGGATCTTGACTATCAAACACTGAAAAATGCTGGTCTCTATCTTCTCCCTATCAAAAGTTATTCAAAAAACAACCGAGTGCCTTGACTTCTGGAACCAATAATAGTACTATGTATAAGTCAATTAAACTGGTGGCTCATGTCAATATATAGAGAGTTGCTCGTTAAATTATTATTACTCCTATTTTATGTCATTATTTTTTGTTCGACTTTGTATACTTGCATTTGATTCCAGAAAATTAAAACCAATGAAAGGATAAAATGAGACGCTTCGAAAAAAAATCACAGTGCTAATATATATGACAACCATACGAAATTTTGTGTTTATTCAAGGTTCGATTCATGGGTCGAAGCTCTTAGCCCATGAGTGTCCATTTTAAAATTGAAGAAAACCACCGAGAGCTCTCCTCTGAACAGTCTTCTGCTTTCCTGAATTTAGTCCGTTCAACTCGTATGTAACACTACGACCCTATTTCGAATCAAAAGCACAATTCTAATATAAGCAAACGGGTTTTGCAATAGAACTGACTATACATCTACTGATAGCATTTCAAATAGAGATCACAAGACTATCGTTTCTGAGGGTTCTGTTCTGAAGGAACAAGAATACATCGTTGCCTGTACACCAAATATCAGCTTATTTTGGATGACTTATACAAAAAAACCACCAAGCAGCACAGTCTTTTTAACTTTCGGATCACAATAAAAAAATTGGCTTTTTCAATTATCGTCGTATTTTTCAATTCTCTCCTTCGTCGTTTGATGGTTTGAGGCACGAGACATCTCAGATGATATACATTTCCTTGTTCAACAAAATATAGGCTATTTCTACAATCTTTTGAATAACAATTTTTATGAAACAGGGAACAAATCAATCAAAAATAAGGATACAGTCTCAGTTATGAATTATAGTATCATGGAGTGATGTATTAGCAAAGTAAGAGTTATTAGTCTGAATTTTAGATATGCTGTAGCTCTAATCACAAAGCAAATTAGTTTATTTTCTTATCATTGAAATTTCTATCATATTCATCAGTATTTCTACTGACTATTCATATGGATTTTATCTACAATAATAGATCTTTGGGCAATTTTGCAACATTTCATAGAAATTTATTTTGCTGAAAACAAATAAAAATAAACAAGAAAGGAGTTTTAAAAATATATATCGAAATTCGACTGAATTTCAAAATATTAATTTTACATAAATTTATCTTATATGATATAGAATATATTCTTTGAAAAACATCAACGATTTCTTCTTGCAAATGATTAACATCGATTCTTTTTATTTTCTTATTTCAATTTTTAATTGTTTTAACTGTATTCTTGTAAATATTGATAAATATACTGTCTTTTGTTTCATAAAATGTGTAAAGGACCTCCTAGAATAAGGTTCTACATCTGTTTCGTTCATAGATGTAGTTCTCATATTTATACCGAACGAAAAAGAGCATTCTAATTCACAATTTTGCATATGCACTTTGCTATTTTACCTTGAAATAGAATCGGTTCTAAAGAAAGCTTTCATACATGTTGACATTAGATTATCTCATATTAACTATTGTAGATTTTTCTCATATAGCTGTTTACTCGAACAACAGCCTATAGGAGACAATTTATTTATTTCCCCTTTACAATACGTAAATCGACAGTAGATATAGACTATCTTTCATTTGTAATATCTTAGGCTAAAATATTCAAATGTTATTTGGTGTGAAGATGCATCTCATAATGGAACCTTTTGTACTGTAAGGCAAGATGATTCATCATATTCTGGTCAAACTATTATTCTAGTAGTCAAGGTAAGAAGTTGAGAATATTAGCTGTACACAGCAAGTGAGGATTGAAATATTCGATTTTCAAGATATTTAGAGTTTCGTGATGAGAACATAATAAAAAGAAAACTATTCACATTCACAGTTTCACATACTCCTCATGTTTTTGGGGGCCTAAGTTTTCAGAATCTTG